GTGGGTTGAACCATGCCTAAGCATTGGGTCAGTCCAGAACAGGAGCCCCTTAAGTCATTTCTTTTAGACATAGGAGTGATGACTTAAAGTTATCCCACGAACCGAGGAGGAAAGCGCGTTGTTGGCGCTGGTTGCTCGCGACAAAGACGTTTCACGATTTTTACGAGGACATGATCGTACGTGATACATTGTTATTTATTAGGTTTATGCATGTTTATATGCTCGTCTGCTTGGGACGTTTATTTTGCTCAGGAGTTTATGGGGGGTTTGCTCGTTATTATTGAGGTTTTCCAGTGAGGGGAGGCTGGTTGAATGACTAGGGTATATTACCGGGCATATTTTGGAACTCAGGTCTCGTTTGGGGCCTGAGCTCGGCGGCGTGAACTTCCCTTTGCAAGCTGGGTGTTCTGCAATCATGGTACGACGATGATGGAGCTTGTTTGAGTTTTCTCCGTCGGGCTAAGAAACTGCTCGTCAAAAGAATGGAAACTTGCCTCTTCTTTTAATTTGAGGTGTTATACTTGTACCTAAGCATTCACATGTGGTCGGGAATGTTGTGTTCATCATTTTGACAGAGCATGCTGACTGTTTATGGCCTTAGTTGTAATACTGTTTCAGCTTTTTGGTGTTTTATAGTCGAGCAAGTTCTTCCCCGTGTAGGTTTTCGAGATAATATGCCCCATTTCCGTTTTTTCTCTAACGCGCTCTTGGATGACGGACTTGTTCCACCTTTCTTCTTCGTGCTCATGAGCTTAGATAAGATGTCTACTTGGGTGTTGTATTCGCAGAGAACATATGCCTGTTAGGATGGTGTGTTCGCAGGGAACATATACCTGCAATGCTGGTGTGTTCGTGGGGAACGCATGTTTACTCGGATGGTGTGTTCGTGGGAAGTGTATGCCTGCTCGACTGAGATGTTCACGGGAAACAAAGGTATTTTAGGTTGATGTGTTCGCGGGGGATGCATGCCTGCTCAGTTGCTGTGTTCGCGGGGAACATATGTCTTTTAGGCTGGTGTGTGTCGCGGGGAATGTATACCTTCTCGGTTGACGTGTTTGCGAAAATGGTTTGTTTATGCGCTCTGCTCGTCAGGGAGGTTGATGAGGTCATTTCTACTGTGATGTCGAGCATTGTCTCCTAGTACTACATGTACGTATGGGCTTTGAGGAGGAGATTGTCTAGTGTGGCTGGTGTTTCTATGCCAACTAATTTGGAAAAATCACTGGGGGCGCAACCCTCGCTCGAGCAAGTTCTTTTTCATATCGTCAGTCGTGGAGACCTGAACGACTTCTTTGTTGAACCTCTCAATTTATGCTTGGAGAGATTCTTATTTTCCTTGTATGATCTCTTCTAGTGAGGCCTATGCCTTTAGAAGACAACGAGAGGTAGTGAAGTGCCTTGAGAATATCTTCCCAAACTGCTTCCATAAGGTGATGGATTCGTTGGGGAGGCTTTTGTACCAAGACGTTTCCCCTTTTCTCAGAGTTTTTGGAAACAGTTTGCACTTGATGGCGCCCCTTACGCCATGGTAGTCAAGCAGGGCATCAATGTTTTCGATGTGTTCGTCAAGATCAGTTGTCTCGTCATACGTTCCTAGATTTGGTGGCTTCTCAAGCCCCACAGGAGGGGAGCGTCCATAACCGCCAAAGACAATGGACCGCGGGGATCCTCATCGTCGCTCAAGTCTGGAGATGGTGGTGACGGGAAGCTATGCTTTCCTCTCCGAGGACTATTGTTTCGACGGGGAGCTGGGCGTTTCGGTGTGCCCTTCGGTTTCTTGGTCACTGGGATAGTTGGTCTCTCCGAGGAGGGGTTTGATCTTATTTCTTGATGGCCAAGATACAAGCTCTTTCTTGCCCCCAGCGACGATTGTCTCGTCGGAGAGACAAGCTATGTGATCTTTTTCATTAGTGCCTCCATGGGGAAGACTTTGACCGGTGAGCATTTTCCAACGCCCCAATCATCTCATTTTGTTGACAGATTTGGGAGTTGGTCTTGTTGAGAGTCGTGAGCATGGCAGCCATGGTAGAGGAAGCGCTAGGCGGAACAAGGATTGCTTGTGTGTTCTCCGGTGGTCCTTCTTAAGCCTTCTTGATCTTGTGAGCTTCAATCTATTGAACGTCGACGTCTTCAGCCTCGTCGGGGGGTAGGGAAGTAGTGCGACCGTCCCTAAATGGGATGGCATCTTCAAGTAAGGGCCTCCCGCCATAATCATTTGTCTTGCAGACATGGGAGATTATGGGTTTGTGAGCATTGTCGTTGTCGTCAATGTTGGCCATGATTGGAATCTTGATTATCTGCTTTATTCTTTGGTTTTCGAGGAAAGAAAGATGGGGAGAATATGTTTCCCACAAACGGCGCCATTGATCTTACCAATTGATCAGAGCCTGAAGTGGGTCAGAGACTTCGACTTCAATGTTGGAATGGAGGAGAAGGAGGTGTACCTGCAAGGTATTCTGGTACTAAAGTCAGTAGGAGCACAAAAAGATACAAGAAAGAGATTAGGGTTTTTCAAATGAATATTAGATACCTGACTCTCATAAGTGTGAGGGTTTATACAGTACCCTGACGCTTGGCCATTAGTATGAGCCTAGATATGAGATTCCTCAAAAATAGGTAACTGTCAGGAATTGGTCATGACAGGCAGAGATGTTGGGAACTAGCCATTATGACGAGTAAAGAGGTGCTCACGGGCAAAGATGATTATGACCATCCTTGGGTGGTTGTTCTCGTGTGACCGGCAGGTCGAGGACCATCTTATATAAGCGGGCAGAGGTAGTCTCGTTGATCCCGGGGCTCAACCGACCACGACTCCTCGACAGAGGGGCAAAGGCGTGATCACGGGCAAGTGTGTCATGGTAGTTCATGGATGAATCCTCCGTGCGTGACAAGCAGAATGAGAAGTAGTTGCTGACACGGGTAAAGGTACAATTAAAGGCAGCAGTGTCATTTACATGTCTCAATTGATTGGACTAAAACTATTGGATCATCTTCAATGTAGGAGTGGATTGGACCATGTCTAGGCATTGGGCTAGACCGGAATATATATAAGAAATAATTTTAAAATTTTAATATGCATACAAAGTATAAAAAATACTCTTTTTTATTGGAAATTTAAAAAGTATATACATTTATTTTGTTTACTTGTATATTAAAAATTTTAAAATAAAAAGAAAATATGTCTTTATTTTACAAATATAATGAAAATAATAACATATTTAAAAAACAAAATTAATTAAATTTATCTATATTTAAATTTTAAATTTTGAACTTTTTTAATTTAATTGTTTCATTTGTTTGTACTCATCTGAATTGTTTTTGTTTTGTTTTTCTATTCATTCATATGTTTTTTTTCTTTATTTACATTATGGATAGATTCGAAAAATAAAAATAAATCAATATTTATAGAAAGTGTGAATTATTCGGTTGTATTCATCCGTCTTTTTTTGTTTATTTTTCTACTTTTTCATGTATTTTTATGTTTCTTTATTTGCAATGTTAATAGATTTAAAAAATAAAAATAATTTAGTAATTATAAAAAGGGTAAAAAAAATATTTAAAAAATGAAATGAAAAAAGAAAAATATTTAAAAAATATGAATTTAATTTGAAAAAAGAATTAGATGGTGAGTAAAAGAGTGGGTGTAGGAAAAATTAAAAAGTTAAAAAAGTGTCAAGAGAGAATTTGACACTCGGCAATATTTGGTTGAAATAAAGTGAATTAATTAGAAGATTAGTTTTTACAATTTTAATTTTGAGTTAAATATATTTTTAGTCTCTATAAATGTCTCGTATTTTATTTTTAGTCTCAATTAAAAATAGACAAATCTTGATCCCTAATTTTTTTTTATTCATGCGATTTTAGTTGTTGTTATTTTCTAAAATTTTAAAAACTGTTTAATTATCTTTAAATTTTTAAATTTTTGAATAATTTTTTCATTTAGAATACTATAAAATATTTCTTTACTAAATTTTAAAAAAATTTAAAAATGGAAAAAAAGAAATATGAATTTTTTATATTTCAAAAGATATTAATAATTAATGAAAATCTCAACTTAAAAATTAAATTTTGAGTTTTTTTTCCTGAGAAACTTTTTATAACATTCTAAACATGTTTGTCAAATAATCATTTCAAAATAGACATCGATTTAATATGAGGGTTAAAACTACGTGCATAATAATTTTGTAGGAACTAAAACATGTCATGTTTTTTATAAGTATCAAAAACAAAATTTAGTAATTTATAGAATCAAAAACATATTTAACCCTTTTAATCTTTTGCAAATATAGACAATTTTAAAGTGAAGATTTTGACTCTCAAATTAATACAATAATTGATTAAAATATAATAAATATTATGTTGATAAAATTTAATTTCATTAAAATTTAAAAAAATATTGTTAATATTTTTAGTGATAATAGAAAAAAATTAAAATGAAAGTGAAAAAGTGTGGGGAAAAAATATGAAAGAGATTTAAAATTTTAATCAAAAGAGAGAATAAGTGTATGTAATATTTAATTGTGATTTAATTGATAAAAATTAAAAAATAAATGTCACATGTCATACTATAATAACAGATGCGACATATAATGTTTATAATTTGACACTTCAAAATCATTCTAAAATCAATTATACACTCTAAAACTGTTTTTTATTCTCTTCCAAAAACTAAACCAATCATACATTACCTCTCTTCCATGTGAGAAAAAGTTGAGTGTAGCAAATGTACATTTTCATAAAACCAAAGTTTTTGAACTGCACATAAACTCTGTATCAAACTGTTTTTGCCCTTAGTTTGGGATTTACTGAATAAAAATCAATTCAAGCCCTTTTTATCCAATGTTATTCACACTCAAATAAACACAAAACCCTATTTCAAACCTAGGCATAGTGTTTATCTTTTTACAACATAAATGCTGCAGTGTGGTAAATGTTGATGATAATGCAGACCAATGTCTTATAAACAATGTAGCTAGCCACCTTCCCAATGAAGGCCTCAATCATGCATTTTCATACTCATACTCACCACTGACATCGACATCGATTTCCTCGTCATCTTCCATGTTCATTGAACCCGGACCAGCTTGACCTCCATCGCCAACTTTCGATCCTGGTCCCGGTACACTTGCCTCTTGTATGATCCTCATGATTTCTTCCACACTTTGGCTTGGTTGATCCTTCTTTGTTTCCACATAACCTTTTCTTTCAGCCTCAATGATCTCTTTAGGCAAATTCTTTAGGAACCAAGGGTTATGCTTTATCTCTTGGAGACTGATCCTCTTTAACAAGGAACATAAATAATTAGTTCAAGAAATAAGCATAATACAGTATCTAAATCCACTTGAAATACCTTAGCAGGATCGGCAACAAAGATGCGAGATAGAAGATTCCTACACTCTGCAGAAACGCGTACATAGTCGGGTATGGAGTATTGGACACCTATTATTCTCTACCAAACCAGAGAATCAAAGTTCAAATTCTCTGCTATTAGAGATTACTCATAATCAATGGCATTTTGAAGTTGAAGTTAAATAAAAGCTTACCCCAATAGTCTTTCTAAAATTTCTAGGATCTTCTGGTTCTTCGAATGGATATGCACCAACTAGCATGACATAAAGAGTCACACCACAGGACCAAACATCTGCAGTCTATACAAAAGAGCCAAAAACACTTGCTGAATTGACCATTTTGGAATAAGCAATAAACTTGTTAATCGATGCGAGACTATACTATTACTTTATGTCAATTCTTAAACCATGGTTGCTAATAGCCATATTACGTGGTTTGTAATATGGCTTTTAAGGCTCTTAAGAAAATGATTGAGAAAATCTCAGGTACCTTTCCGTCGTACTCCTTTCGTGACAGAACCTCTGGAGCAATGTATGCAGGAGTTCCAACTGTTGACTTTGGTATAGAGTGCAATAGTGCAGACTGCAATTGAATATCGAATTAAATGTGAAACATACGATACAATATATGATATATCTTTAAAAAGGCTCAATTAGGTGAAATAGTACTAACCTTGGAGTAACCGAAGTCGCAAATTTTAAGCCGAGGGGATGGATTTCCATCCAAGAGCGTGTTTTCCAATTTCAGATCTCTATGACAAATTTCCTATAGCACGAAGCGTAATATAAAACACAGTTTTGTAATGAAAAACACGGAAAATTATGAGTGCTTGCATACCATTGAATGACAGTAGCTAACACCAGATATTAGCTGTTGGAAGAAATATCTTGCCTGTAATAATATAAGGAAAATCATTCACACGATAAACTTCAACGCAAATAACTTATTCGCGTATACGAATGTTTCAAAAGGAAAAACACAAGTTCAATTCAAGGACATTAATTCTATAACCTCGTCTTCACTAAACCGGCCAGCAGTGCATATCCTCTCAAAGAGTTCACCCCCAGCAGCATATTCCAAGACAATGGCTAAATGAGAAGGTGTCAGCAAGACCTGCAGAACAGTTACCTCATTCATCATTTTACTATAACTTCTGAAAGCTCTAAATACTACAAATTGAAATCGCACAACACTGATTGAACACAGACGATTACGACCCTTTTTTTAGTACGATGCACTACATCATATAACTTTTTGCGCATTATGGTCCAATATCGATTATGTGTTACATAAAGAAGCTAATTTAAACTCATGAAAGATTCTAGTAGCTGGTAAACTCATGTCTGTAACATTATCTTTTCAATAAGAACTAGCTAAAAGGGAATTACGAATTATACCTGAACAAGTCAAATCTCATTGAGAAAAGTTTCAATGCAGATAATCAAATACTACATTAAAAATTCCCTTCTAAACCTAATGAAGAAACAGTTAAAGAAAGAAAAACTGTTACCTCTTTGAATCTGATAATATTAGGATGCCTTAATGATCTGTGGTTAATTATCTCCCTCTGAACATTCTCATCAATCTGATATCACAATCACATCTCACTCAGAATACTCAAGAAATTGAAAAAAGTTATATCATAAATTTCCAAATAAAAAGGCCATTAACCAAGAAAAATCATGTATCAGCAAGCATCACAAATATTCAAAGAAAAAGTTACAAGAATACTCAAGAAAACATATATGAAAAAACAAAGAATTATACCTTTTTGCCCCTTTCAATGTATTTGAGAGCAACAAGTTCACCAGTGTTTTTGTCTTTAGCCAACCTAGCAACAGCAAAATTTCCAGAACCAAGTTCCTTTAATGGCTCATATCTTTCTTCCATGTCAACCCTCTAAACCAAAACTCTCAAAAACAGAAAAGAAAAGACCAAATTAGATGATAAAAATATGTGTAAGGTGGCTAAGTATAATAATATTTTGGTTAATGATAATGTTTTGTAATGTAATATGTGAAAGAGACAGAAGAGGGACCCAATGGAAAGAGAATCAAAAGAGTTACATTTAGAACTTAAAGCTTACCTCAATAAAGTTATTTATGGTGTGTTTTTAATGTGTTATAAAGTCTGGTATTTTAATTTATGGAATAAGTTGCTTTCATGAATATTTATTTTAAAATGTGAATGATGTAAGGTATAGTGTTAGGAGGGTGGAGAGGTAATAATTGGATTGGATTTTGGAGGTTATGATGAACCTATTTGCGTCTACTATCAATCAAAAACTATACCACAATTATAAAATACAAATTCATTTCTTGATTTGTGTATGTTGTAATCAAGGGAGATACAGTCAAATAAAACTCTCATCTTTTCTTTTCCTTTTCTGCTTTATTGCAATTTATTCATCTCTAAATATTATGACTAGGGTGGATAATCCGTTGGTTTGAATTTAAATTTGATGTAAATCGCGGTTTTGATCTAAAAGTTTAATTTTGATTAACAAAATTTTGATTTTTAACAAATTCGATTAAATCAGTTTGACGGATAAATCGATGATTTTAGTCGGTTTAAGATTTATTGAGTTAAACTCATAAAATGGCAAATTTTTTATAAAATTCACACATTCATTTTCTAGACTTAAAAAAAAAATTCAATATTTTAGAAAAGCAGAAGAGAACTATTTTCTTTTATTATTGATGAAAATATTATTATTACGATAATATTTCTAATATCATTTTATACTAATTTTTTCATTATCATACTTTAAATCACAAACTATATATAACACTTAATTTTATATTGCATGTGTTGTATTTTTGTGAGTATAAATATCATCATTAAATATCAATTGTTAGTTGGTTCAATGGTAATTGACGCTGGACTTGATAGGGAGGACTGTGATTAAATCCTCCGCAACTGCGATTGGGAGGGGGTTGGAACTACTTGATGTCAGAATTGACCCACGATCCCGACTATACCGGTGGTGAAAAGCCAAAAAAATATATTAGTTGAATTCGGTCTGACTCGTTTCGACACCCGATCTAACCCGATCCATTTGCATAAAAAAGACAATGGATTGATCGGTTTGAGTCAGACGGTTCAATTTTATCCACCCCTAATCATGACTAGGTAGTTTTAGCAGTTATAAAAAAAACTATATAATTTTTTTTGTACAAAGGTCCAAAAGGAAAGAGAAATGACATTTTGACACTTAAATTTGAGTGTCAAAGTGGTGTCAAATGTAATTTTTAAATATAGTAGTGTATTATTGAAATTCGTGTAAGTATATGAAATGAAAAAATATGAGAGATAAAGACATTAATATAGAGTTGATATATGTTATTAAATTTTAGGAGTTCAAATAACATCCTCAAAGAAAAGGTTAAACAAACACCACCTTACCACCTTAGAAGTGGTTATGCCATTGAGTCGTTTTTCGGCAAGTGACTAATGAATCTTTGGACCATATAAAAAATGATTAACTCTAAATCTAACACACACACAAAGTTAGCTATGGCATCAATACACCTATTTGATTTTCGATATACATGCTCCAGTCTTATGATAAGTGTTAAAAGATACTATAATTTCATATGAAAATGTGGCCCTTATAGATTTACGCTAACATGATTTTATCAATTAAATCTCAATTATTACATATAATTTAGTTTCTTTGTCCAAATAAATATATGGTGCCTTGTAATCTCTCTGTTATTATTTAGAAACGCCATAATTTACCTAATTGGATACACAAAACACAAAGAGGAAATTCAACTACTTCACTAAGCGAGCCTCATGCAAGTTACAAGCGAGATGTGACAGAGAATTCAAAAATCCAAAATTCAGCATGTTCGCTAAGGGAGCCTCCGGCGAGTTTCAAACGAGAGGGGGCAAAGAGTTTCAACCTTCAAACATCAGCATATTCGCTTAGCGAGCCATATTTTACTAAACGAAGTTTGGCGGTTTCTTAAGGGCGGTTAGAAAATACTTAAGGATGAAGAAAGGCTAGTTCTCTAAGCGAATATGATAGACCAAAATCAGTTCAATAGGGAACATCTTTTGTAAAATCAGTAACATAGTATAGAATAGAAAGTAAGAGAGTGTGACTGAATGATACGAGCTGGATACGCATCAAGAGTCAGGAAATCATCGTTAATGCTCATTCATCCTAATTCCTCCATTTTGTGTCAAGTTACCATGAGTAGCTAAATTCCTTTCTTGTGGGGATTGGAAGTAAGTCACAATAATAGTATGTATTTTTATTGATCATGGTGATATATACTGTCTATTTATGAATTAATATCGATATTATCTTTGTTTCACTATTTAATTTGTAGATTTGAATTGATATTGAGAAATACTATTCAAATATTGATCTAAGATAAACATTTGTTAGATTCTAAATTCTAGACATAGGTTTAGTTTTAACATTCACATAAAGTATCAGTTCTTAATGTTGTCGTATTGTTTAATAGGCTGAGAGATCGTCGATTAAACAATATGGTAGAAACCTCATCAGAAGTTTAGACATGAACTCTGTTTGTGAGCGATACGTGATAATACTAATGAATATTTAGATTGTGTATAAATGATCAGTAATTTGCATGTTAAATTGGTGGATGAAATCTAATTCCAACAAGTAATATCTCTCTGAAAAATTTCTTTATTTATTATCTGTTTTTACATCTCGTAACTTACAAAATCAAACATCTTGCAAACTTCCGCTTAAAACTATAATGACTATTTAACGACATTGATATTGCACCAGTCCCTGTGGATACGATAAATCAAATACTTATTTTTGATTATTGAACATCAAAATGGCGTCGTTGCCGGAGACTGGCGTTTAGATATTAAAGCATATCAATAGCTTCTATCTTTTTAAGCTTAGTGCATTTGTCTATATTATGTATATATTTGTTTTCCACCATGTTTATTCAAGTGTTTGGTTAGGATACATGCTTTCTGTTTATTCTTTAAAGCAGAACATTAAAAGAACAATTGTTTTTTGATTCCGAGATCGAAAGGACAACAAGATGAAACAATAACAAAACCAGAAAGAGGAAGCAACTAGCCAAACAAAGAAATAAGGAAGAAGAGATTTCCACTTTGATTTCTCCAGACTCTCCATAACCAAGAATAATGGGTGAGTCGATCCCTAATGTTGATCCAGTTGTCATCAACAATCCAGAAGCCTGTAGAATGCCTTGTCATCATAGCCCACGAAGATTGGCTCATATGGCGAGAACTTCAACAAACTCTTGACAAAAGGAGATGAAAATAGGATTGCTTTAGATTATCTATATGAATCCTTTTGTCAGTCTTGATCATGAACAACCTTACACTCACCTCACCAAATTCTATGAGCTAGTTGGTGTATTAGGAGCATCTGAAACAGAAGAAAAAGTCATGTTTATGAGACTTTTCCTCATTCTTTGATCAGGAAAGAAAAATATTAGTATTTGGATCAACCGGTTCAAACTATGACCAACTGGAATATTCTTGAAGAAAAGTTTCTTAATCGTTTCTTTCCACACAACAGATTCATGGATGTTAAAACAACAATCACCGTATTTTCTAAAGGATCAACATAGACTTTTTATGAAGCGTGGGAGAAATGTAAGTCAATGTTAAGAAAATTCCTGAAATTCATAGATTTGAGGATCTTACTCAAACTCATATATTATGCAACAAACTCCAGTCTCAACCTAAACTTATGTTAGATGCAATCACATATGGATCCTTAATGTCCAAGAGTGCATAAGAGGAAATATTTATCATTAATCAAATGGTACTCAATGATCACCAAGTTCATTACAACAGAGGTATAACACAGCGAAAACCTGGAATTCTTAAACTAGGAATAAATGATGCAATCCTCGCACAAAACAAGTTATTAACCCAAATAGTGGAGGAACTTAGCTAACAGTTATCCAAACTTCCACAATAGCTAAAGGAAATGTAAGAAGTACCTGTTAAACCTCAACATGTTGCTTTTTGTGAATTATGTACTGGAGACCATCCAATTGGTTTTTCCCTTCAGCTAATATAAAGGTGAATTATTTGGGAAATCATCATTAAAAGCAGACACCGTACCTAAATTACAAAGGTTATCCATGCAATAAAAAGACAAGTTATCACCAAGGTTGGAGGTAGAATGCAAGACACTAAAATAGGGAAAATATGTACCAAAGATATACTCAGCCAACCATGCTTTCAAAAATAGAAGACACCTTGAATCAATTTATGCAACTATCCATGACAAACCAGAAAAATATTGATGCTTCAATCAGGAATCTTGAAATGCAAGTAGGACAGAAAGAAAAATAGTTGGCTGACCAACAAAGAGAAACATTCACTGCCAACACTCAAAATAATCCAAAGGAACATTGAAACTCGATCACAACAAAGAGTGGCAGAGTGATTGAAACATGAGTTGAGGAGAATAAAGAAAAAGAAAATTTTTTTGTTGAAAAACGAGAGAGAGAATAAAAAGATAATGAGAAGGAAGTGGAGGAGGAAGAAAATAAAAAAGATCCAGAGAAAGTTACATTACCGGTTACCATATGAAATGTGAACTTGAAAGCTCTAATTGATATGGGATCAAACATCAACCTTCTATCATTATTTATTGTTAGGAGTATCAATGATCTCGATTTGAAACCTACGAAGATGACTTTGCAGTTGGTAGATAAATCTATCACACAATCATCTGGAATAGTGAAAGATTGTTCACCGTGTTTTCTGGTGAACAACCGCTGATCTTCCAAAAAGGATAACTTTTTGGTTACTCGCAACATCGATCAGTTTAATCCTAGGACATATGCTAATTTTTTATGTTGTTTGGACATAAACGTTAATGTGGGTGAAGAACGCAAGTTCGACTG